GATTTATTTTTTGAGGTTAATACCTCATACCGGTTCATGACTCTATCAGTTCCTTCCCTGGGTCTTTGGAAGCCCATGGATTCCAGGTTCAGACACCCTAAGACATTATTATAGTCTGCATGAGGCCATTTATGTATTATTATGGTTTTGGGAAACATTTGGACCAAAACACTGAAAAAGTTGAATGATTGTTAACAAAAGGAAATATCAAGGAATTAATAGAAAGGAGTTAAAGTCAAGGAAAATGTTCAAAGAAAGAATAGAAGTAACAAATGATTTTAAATTTATATTCAAGGGATAATATCTCTTTACGAACTCAAATTAGAATTAGAAAACATTAAAACTCAAACTAGAAGCCACAACCCAAGCAGAGTCTGTTATAGAAGCTGGTAGACAGAACTCTGAGGAAGGAGACCCACTAAACAGCTCTCAGAAACAAGGGTTAACTGACTTGCCTGGGCTACTTTGGTAGTTGATTTCTGTAGGTATAAAGGGATATGTTCCTACCAGTCAGTTTAGGGTGCTTCCTAATGGCTTCATTTCAGAGAAGCCTTAGAGCTTATGGCTGAGCTCATAGTTGAATTGTTGGGTGTCTGTTTTGGGTTCTCAATTATTTGTCTTCCACATCAAAAGTAGAATATCACACTTATTTCAGAAACACTGGGTTAATCAGTTAAAACTGGCAATGACTGGGGTAGAGTAACCTTATGATGATATTATGAATAATATAGAACATTAACAGTTTATTCTTTACAAAACTACTTTCACATGCATTGCTTCCTTAGATTCTCAAAACTCCTGGCTGAAGTCCTGTAATACATTGTGAAATAGGAAGCCTTGGACACCTGTGGATCTCTCTCTGAGCTTGTCCCTTCACAGGTTAGTCCTCCTAGCTTCTCTCTGCTGCCTCTCTCTGCACTCACCGAGTGCATGATTTAGGTCTTCAGTGGATCACAGGAACTTGCCCAGAATTCCCATCTTTTTACTCTCCTTTTTTACCCGAAAATACCAGAGGGTAGTTGGATATATGGAGTGAGATCTGGGACAACCTGTAGAGAGCAAGATGGAGTCTCTCATGTCAGGTGGAATCCTGTGTCAAGCAGGGGCCTGTGTCAAGTGATGACACAGTAGTTAAAGGTGCTGCAGCTAGGAGATATTCCCTGGGACCGCTGTCAGCTGACATCCCGGAACTAATAAGGAACAGAACCAAAAAAAGGTATGCAGGGTCCTGAAACCAATGCAATCCCTTTAGAAAGGGGAGGATTAGACAGCAAACTGTCAGACTCTTCAGACCTTACCCCTCTATGTCAGAGACCACTTGAAAAGGCCACTGCTCCCAAAGGCCCTACCCTGTTAATCTGCAGACAGAACTGAGATCCTTCCCTGCTGGAACATAGGAAGGAGTGAGTGCCCAGAGCTGACCAGGACTTGACCAAGACCTTATCTCAACTGTGCGCCCACAGACTGACTTCAAGTTTGGTTCATTAACTTACTACATCCTTCTGTTATCTGCTTTGTGCTGTGGTTTTTCTTCTGCCCTGCTCTGTTTGCTGTGTAAGGAGCCAAGTTGAGTCACATGGTTAAATGTCATTTTGAGCTTGGAATCCTGAGCCTGGTTTATAATTCTGATTTAACTTTGCTTTATGATTGATTAAAGCTGACACTGTGGAAGGACACAACTAATGTGAACGCCTTCCTAGTGTGCTCATGATGCAAGCCCCATCCCATCTATCACCAACTTGAATACCATCTTCAGCTAAGGACAAAAGGAAGATGTTGGAATGAGGGTGGGGTGGCCAATTATGGAGCTTGCCAGGAAAACCCCAGCAAACATTGGTAATATTTGTGAGGTATATTTATGTCCATGGATAAGAGGGTTTCTTTTTCTTTCTTCCTTCCTTCCTTTCTTTCTTTCTCTCTTTCTTTCTTTCTTTCTTTCTTTCTTTCTTTCTTTCTTTCTTTCTTTCTCTTTCTTTCTTTCTTTCTTTCTTTCTTTCTTTCTCTTTCTTTCTTTTTCTTTCTTTCTTTCTTTCTTTCTCTTTCTTTCTTTCTTTCCTTCCTTCTTTCTCCTTCCTTCCTTCCTTCCTTCCTTCCTTCCTCTTTTTCTTTCTGTTGATAAGAGTTTCTTGTGATTTGTAGAGTCATGCTCCTCTTTCTGATACTAGGAGGGAGATACACTTACAAATGGAAATTTCCTTTATTAATGGAAATGTTCCTATAAAAAGGCTAACTTCCACTCTGGTTTCAGAGATCCTCCTGTGTTGGTGGTTTCTTAAAAATCACCAGCTCAAAATCATCCTTATGCCCAAGAGGTAACATTTGGAGTGGAGTAACTGCTACCCTTTGTGACTATCTGATAATAAGGTGGCCTTGTGAGAAACTCAACCAAGGTGGCTTAAGTGCACTGATAGGAAACACATTCAAGGATCCCACTTCATCCACAAATTGCGTCTTTGACTACATACTATCCCCCCTCAATGAAGATTCCACAGTTCACAACACCAGAGATGTTTTATTTTGTTGTTTGCTGTTTCTTTATTTGTTTTCCACTGAAGTTCCCATTGAACATGGCCTATGTGGGCTTTTCCCCAGAAGATTTTAGGGAAGTGACTTTAGGAGCTAGATCTCTGATTTTTTTCCTGGTAAGTTCATATTACCCGTCTCCAGGTTACCCCTCCCCAGAGCCTTGTCATTCCTCTGTACCCAGAAGGGAGTCTTTAATATCAAAAACCTTTGCTCCAGACTATTCTCAGAGGGAACTTAAGTGTTCTAGATGAGAAAGCACAGAACAGGTTCACCTAGGAAGGCTGTTCCCCACCCATGACAGGCTACTAATCAGTTGGAGTGCTGCACCTCTCACTACTACTCCTTTCTTCACGGTTGCAGACTTCCTGGCTCTCTGCTCTTAGACCTACATATTGATTTCCTCAACCAGTGATGCCTGAGTGTTGGATCTGAACAGGGTGAGTTGAGTTAGGGCTGGTGCTAAGGATGCTTAAGGGAAAAGGCCCAGAAACACTGGAAGGGGCCTCACTGAACTTCTAGATGGTAGAGTTAAGTTTGGAGTGATCCAATTTGTAAGAAGCAAAGACCTGAATTCAACTCAGGATTAATCCCAGTGAAACAGTGTCTCCCTTGAACCCATCTACCCCTATTCCCACTTCCTCCCCAATCTTTCCAAGCATAATACATTGAAGCAGCTTGAATCCTGGTCTTCTAACGTGGGTAGAGCCTTTGGGTCAGGTACAGGGTGGCCCAGATGTGAATGTGCCTACTCTGTCTTCTGTACATGATATAGCCCTTCACATGATAGAGGACGAAAAAAATTTCCTTCTGTCATTCAAGATTCTTCCAGCCAGTTTAAGACTAAGTTGATACCACACAGATTTAATAGGAGAAAAAAAACAAGGTTTATTATGTGCACATAGAGGCCCAATAATGAAATCGAGATCCCAAAGAAATGATGGAGGCAGGGAGTTTTTAGACATTTTAAACAATGAGATAATCGATTTATGAGGAATTGACAGGAGAGACAAAACAAATGTTGGGGAGTGCTATTAAGTAAGGAATTCCAAGCACATTCTGGGCTGAGGTAGTAGGTTAGTAAAAAGCAAGGAAGTTTGTTTTTATAGCTTTCTTGGCTTTAAAATCCCTATCACTAGTAGGCTGCCTGGCTGGCTCACTCAATGAAACATGTGACTCTTGATCTCAGGGTTATGAGTTGAAGCCCCACACTGGGCCTAGAGCTTATGTAAAAAATGAAAAAATAAAAAAAAATAAGTAAAATCCCTATCTCTGGTGATAAGAATGTCTTTTTATTTCTTAGTACAGGGAGGGTACCATTCATAGGAGAGATTCAATTTCTGCTTTGCGGGGACCGAAGAGGGTCTGAGTATCCTTGCCCTGTCTATTTTCCAAATAGATTCAATTCAAAATGATGAATATGCCATTGGGACACCTTTTGGGGTGGGCTGTCCTGCGTCCCTACACCATTCTCAGAAGTGCTCTCACTGACATATCTCATTAGATGCTCACAGGTCTTTGAAGCAGCTGTTCTTAGCCCCATTTGTGGACATAGGGCTTGAGAACCAGGTTAGAGATTCCACAGGATCAGCTGCATGCCTCATCATAAACAACCTATTGTTTACAAACAACACTGTACCTTCATTTTGACCTGAGTAGCTCTTGTGAGGGCAGTCCCAAACTTGGAACTTGATTGAACAGAACGATATTTCAAAACTCGAGTTCCTATATGATT